TTACAATATCTTGTAATTAAAAGTTTGCATGTTTTATGCATTACCATGTGTTAAAGTATAAAATATTATAAAATTATAATAAATTAAATTTTTTTGCAGAAAATTCATTGGCATATTTCTATTAAATAATTTATCGACCAATATGTCGGAGAAAGCGTCATTACCAGGTTAGTTGCATCAGGCATGATCATCAAGCATCAGGCTGATGTAATAATATAATGATAAACTGCAGCAAAAAAATGATAACAAGAATAGTAATATGAATGACAGTTTGGAGCTACATATGTTTAACTTGGCCGTACATGTTATAATATTAACAATTAAATTAGTAATGTATAATAAATATTTTATAAGGTATCTATACGTCAGACAAGAATGGTAGTGATGAGACAGGAGATGGTTCAGAGAGCAACCCCTTTAAAACTGTTCTAAGAGCGATGCGTCATGCCAATAAGGAACCTTTTCCAGTCATATACCAGGACTCTCGTGAGAAAGACAAGAAGTATGAACCAGCGTCTAAGTCTCAATTGAAAAAGGCACAAAAGATTTGGATTAGAGAACAGTATAAAAATGAGGATAAGGAGAAGAAGTTGTTGGAAGATGAGGAAAAGAGATTGAAAAATATTGAAGAGGCTAAAACAATTGTTATAGAAGAGGATAAAACTCTGCCGGAAGCAAAAGAAATCAAGATAAGACAAGCTGTCGATCACAGAGATCAAAGAGTCAAGATATACGGATGGGTGCACAGACTGAGACGGCAAGGTATGCAATATAATTAAACTTATTTCTATTATATAATATTTTATTGAGTGATTTCTGTTATATAGGCAAAGCCCTTATGTTCATCACGTTGCGAGATGGGACAGGCTTTCTACAATGTGTGCTGACTGATAAGCTTTGTCAAACATACAATGCTTTGATCCTTGCCACAGAGGCTTCTGTTCAACTGTTTGGGGTCTTGAAAGCTCTTCCTGAAGGGAAAAATGTACATTTGAAAAAATTAATGTTTTATGTAAATCATTGGCGTGCTTGTATATATTTAGATAATAATATTTAATTTTATTTCAAAGGCACCCGGTGGACACGAGTTATGTGTTGATTATTGGAAACTTATTGGACTGTCGCCTCCTGGTGGCGCCGATTCAATTTTGAACGAAGAAGCTCTACCTGACGTACAATTGGACAACAGGCATATAATGATTCGAGGCGAAAATGTATGATATAAAAGTTCTAATGCGCTCTTATTTCTTATATAATTAATTTTAAATTAGATTTAATTCAATAATATATTATCCCGTAATTATTAAGATTATTAATATATTAATTTTACAGACATCGAGAATTCTAATGATGAGATCTGTATTGATGCAAGCGTTCAGAGATCATTACAAGGATCGCGGTTACTATGAAGTAACTCCACCAACGATGGTGCAAACCCAAGTGGAGGGTGGTTCAACTCTCTTCAAATTGGATTATTTTGGGTATGCATAATAAATTGAATGGGTTATTAATCGCGTAATACATGAGTCAATTGATTGATTGTTGTTTTCAGGGAAAATGCTTTTCTTACTCAGAGTTCTCAATTATATCTTGAAACGTGCGTCCCAGCAATGGGAGATGTATATTGCATTGCCCAATCATATCGGGCAGAGCAATCGAGAACGCGTCGCCACCTTGCCGAGTTTGTATACAATATAATTATATTAAGGAAATTGGTATAAATCTATTTTTTTAACGATATATTTTAAATATCGAATTAATTTTCAGATACACGCATATCGAGGCAGAATGTCCGTTTATCACGTTTGACGAGATGCTTGATCGATTAGAAGATTTAATTTGCGACGTAGTTGAGCGAGTTCTGCAATCGCCACTCGGTGATCTTGTCAAAGAATTGAATCCCAGCTTTCAAATTCCCAAGAAGCCTTTTAAACGAATGAATTACAGCGATGCGATTGAATATCTGAGAGAAAACAATATTACAAAAGACGATGGTAGCTTTTATGAGTTCGGAGAGGTACGAATAAATGTTCTCGTACAATTCATCTTATTCCCGACAAACGTATAATTGTTATCGTTCTTTATAGGATATTCCCGAAATGCCAGAAAGAAAAATGACCGATGCCATCAACGAGCCGATAATGCTTTGTCGTTTCCCCGCTGAAATTAAGTCGTTTTACATGCAACGTTGCGCGGAGGATAGACGCTTAACGGAATCTGTGGATGTTCTTCTACCGAACGTGGGTGAAATCGTCGGCGGTTCGATGCGTATCTGGGATTACGAGGAGCTGATGGAGGGTTACAAGCGTGAAAACATTGATCCGACCCCGTACTACTGGTATACAGACCAGGTAAATACAAAGAAAACAAATTCTACATTGTAATTAACATTACAGATTGAATAATTACGTTACTTTACAGCGGAAATATGGAACTTGTCCTCATGGCGGTTACGGATTGGGATTAGAACGATTTTTGTGCTGGCTGTTGAACAGGTATCACATACGTGAGGTGTGTTTGTATCCGCGTTTCCTGGAGCGTTGTCGCCCGTAAAAGAATATTCACGAGAATATGGATATTGTGTCAATGCGGTTACATTACTTTTTACTACTACAGTAAACCATAGCACTGCGTTATATTCAGAAATATTACGAATATACCAATTATAATCACGAAAAAACTTGTGGAAAGCCACTTAAATAGAAGTATATGTACATACATACAAATGTTCCGAGTATGCATTATTCTCTATCCTTATTATCCAAAATATCGTGAATTATCGTGTGATTTTTAACAATAACGGAGTATTTATATAACGAATAGTATACATATATATTGTCAAAAGCTGGAATATTTTTGATACTTATAATTTGCACATATTTATTGTATAATCGAGTATACAATGCCATCGACTGCGTATACAGCGGTTCAAATAAAAATTCACATAAAATGTTACATAATCATTATATGTATATGCATTGTATAAATACTGGCTTTGTTTTTACTTTATTATATAGAAAGTTTCTTTCATATTATTTTCATGACAGAAAGATGCTTAAAATTATTAGGCGATTAATATAAATTATTCTTCCTGCATTATTTGTTTGTAATTTTGAAATTAAGTGCAAGAGATTAATAAGTATCTATATAAGTGCATTATGTGTAAATTAAACAGCGGATTTAACTTCATTAGATATGTATATATGTATATATATATATGAAACTGATAGAAGTGTCATTCAACAAGTGCATTTAACAAAAATAAATCCTTTGTTACAGTTTATAATTTTATGTATATATACTTTCTATAACAGAATCATACTAGCAACAATTACTTGCGGAAAAGTCCTAAAAAATTTATAGCGATGGAAACAATACTAATTTAAAAGTTATGGCGTTACACATCTTCAAACAAGTTCGCATTAAATGGTGCTTGATCACAATTCACGTGATATTTACAAAACTGGATATGAGGAAAATACATTTATCTAGTCATCTGTGAAATATTTAGTAAAACTGTTAAAACAGATTTAAATGATTTGCAAAGAAAGTAATTCGCTTGAGGCTATTATCCTATCATCTGTTCATCGCCGATAATATATATTTCAAATAATTTTGTAAACGTACGCGATAAATGCATTGCATTTATCCCTTTCATGAAGTGACTATATTACACATTTCGAGATAAAGAGATACAAAGAGTTCATTAGAAGGCAACACAGATTTCAAGCTCTGTATTTTACTCATTATCCAAAATTGTCTCCGCCGTGTTTTACATATCTTACGAATATATTGTATCGTATAGATAGCGATGACGAAAAAGCATCGAAGTGGAGTACCTTGAATACATGAGAATTCTCTCGTTCAAATTAATTTATCGGACTATATTACAGAACAATAACTTACATTGCGCACACTGCCTCTATTTCAACAAATAATACACAGAGAAACCGCAGTTTCTCATTAACACAAAGAGATATCTCGTTTTACTATGGTCAATAACCGCTATGAAAATCGGCTAAATCGTCTTTAAATTATCCGCCGCTAAACAGTAGAATTCATCTCAACTGATCTTTATAAATACATATATTACATATTAAAAATATGAAGGTACGTGAAGATTATTACATATCATTTATTCGAATCGTTTAATATTTACTTTCATGTGAGAAAGGAATGATCATTAGTATTATTACATGCTGCTTCGTACGAAATCCACTTTAGGGAAAATACAGTGCCGTTTTCGCAGCCTCGTCGACGCTACAGCTATTTGTGTATTTGCTCGCTGTTTAGTTTTTTTTTTCTTAGATCGGGGAACCACTTTGAGACGCTATCTAAGATTACAGTTTTTACTATGTTACTATAAGAGTTTCAGTTTTGGACAACAACAACAATATTCGTGTGGAATTCACTACTTTATTATGCAATAAAGTAGCTCTCGATGAAACGATATATATATATATATTTATAAATGTAACACCCGATATATTAGCTTGTCACAACACACTAGCCATGCAAAGAGATATATCGTACCGTCTGCACGGTATTCGTATGTAAAAGTAGTGGATATATCGTACAACAGCAATCAATTAATTGCGTGGATTTCTTTAACGATTCGCCTTTCATATTTATATATATGTATATAATCAATAAATATCGGTTTCTTTCGCGTAATATACTTACACGGTATTCACTTCGTTTTCATCAACTTTTTTTTTCTTCTTTTTAATCCTAATAAAGCGTTTGTATTACACAATCGCGTTCTGGCAGTTGACGGACTTTCATCGAACCATCTGCTCCACACGAAAACAATCGACCCGCGGAATCCACGTGTAACTGGGTAACGCCCTGGAGACAAATGATACCGTTATTTATATCTCTGTTTTACGTTTAAATAAATTGGCAAATCGCAACGTAACAGTACCTGTCCTATGTTTTTGAAGAAACTAGATCGTGGATGTTCACTAGGAAATGAATACAGCAGAGAATGGACGGTCAAACCCCATATCTACGACCAAATACGTTCGCTCATTACTATTTGGAAACGAAGGAACGTATGGCGACTTTATTGAGAAGTCGCGATTCGAGACAATGATTTTTTTTACCTTAATATCACCATCACCTGCCCCGCTAACGAAAAATTCCTCGTGCGGATCGAGCGCTAAACATTTGATAGCCGACTCGTGCGCCTGGAATCTCTGCCTTTGTTGCCGTTGTCGCACGTCAAATATATTAATGTCGCCTTTCTTGCCGCCGCTGATCAGCAGCTGATGCTGCGGTGCCAGAATCAACGCGCTCGCTCCCTGATCGTGACACATGAAGCCTGACAAAACATAATAATATAATCATTATTTTTATAAAAAGAATATCAGGATTATTATTCCTCAACAAATTAAGCTAAATATTGGGTATACGTAATTTGTATATTCGTACCTTGTACAAGAGATTTGTTTTGCGGAAGTAATGTGTCCCATAAGGCTACGTTCCGTCCTTCCGAGCCGTGACCCGCCGTGGCTACGAGACTACACGCGCCAAGGAAGACGAAGTCCGAAGTCACTTTACTATGGCACTGGTAAGTCTGGAATAAATTTAAACAGTGTCGATATAGCGAACGGACGTACTGAGTGATACTTCGATACGTCTTTTAGATAGATTATGAGATTCTTACAAAGAACGGTCGAGCTGTTCCTTCCCGGCAGGCCACTTGAAACAGACTCAGATGACCGTCGGAATCCGCCACACCGAACTTGTTGCCGTGTTGAGAAAATCGCACGCGGGTTACTTTGGCGAAAGTGCCAGGTGCTCTCGGAGTAGCGACGGCCGTTTGATGTCCCCACTCCCATAGCGACACAGAACCGTCCTGCGATCCGGTTAAGTCTGGTGTCGCCAGACATAAACAAAAATTAATAAACACGTTATTTTAAAACTCTTTCGCTACTTCAGTCGTAGTCGTGAAGAATAGAAATTCGCGAGAAGTGTATTCATGCGCTCGTCCGGATAACAAATGTACTCACATAATGGTAAAAGCGGATGGGAAGAGATTCTCCTGATTCCATCAATCTTATGCTTCAGAATCTGTCGGCATCAAATACAATCGATTGAATTTGCGAGTGAAAAAGATTCGAGATAAAAATATATACATTTAAATAATGTAATATTCCAGCAGAATTAAACGTAACTTCATAAATACATTCAACAATTATTACGATATAACGCAGTCTGGGTGTTACGTTAACGCAAAGTAGGTTTAATGGAGTTGCATAATAATAAACACGTAGCATGCGTTTTCAAATGTTGCAGCGAGAGTTTCCAGTTAAAACAATTTGCAACTAGTGTTCGGCTGAAACTGCTTTTCGGCCCACTAGCTTGCGGAATTAGCTGTACTAACGTTTATCTCTACAGGTCAGCGATTTGTAGACGTTGAATTAAAGTGTGGACATGTACATGAATGTGGGTTGATACAGTATAACGAAATATAACGGACCTCTACGCATTCAAATTTTTATGATCCCCATCACTGAGAGAATATGAAAAGCGTGATATTTATTGAATACATTATCCGTGAGGAAAAATTAATATGTACAATTGATCAAATATTGTTTGCATGGTACATGCATTAGATCCACATTTCAATCATGTTCATTTAATATATTCAACTTAATACTTATGATAAGAACAGTGAGTTTCATCCATGAACTATAAATAACATCAACGAAAATCCAGGAGCAGATGAAATACGTATTTGCCCATATTTGCCACAATGTACGCTATTATTTTTTTATAAAACCTTTGTATTATGTTATACTGACAATGTAAGCAAAGAAAAATACAAACCAATGCACTGTGCATGTCGAGTTTTTAGATAAAATGATAATGGCTAAATATTTCTAAAAATAGGTCTTACGGTTGAACTGTAAGATCCTCTGGAAATTCAAGATATATCTGATTTGTAATATAGATATGAAAAATTAAAAAATATTCAATAATCTCAGCAATTTTTTTTTTTTTTAGGTAATCTTGTTTCAGAATAAGATAATCGAGTTTTCATCATAAAATTGCGAGCTGTGTAAACGAGCTTAAACATATTACAAATCAGATACTGGCTTGTTACCCAAAAAAGTTAAACATGAAATTTGCACTAGGATAGACTAGGGTCTGTTAGATGTAAATCTCACCGGCTTTAACAAGTGTTTGCTCCTATCGGCAACAAATTGACAGAAACGCAGGTCGTGGGAGCCAGGAAAAGCAGGCATCCCCTTCATCTGAGCGAGCGAATGAGCCGCCAGTTCAGTGACGCAGACCAAGTTAGATGTTAGGCAAGCATTGAACAAGCAACATTGTCTCCGTCACCACTTGTGCTACCCTAACCGAGTACACCACATTCACGGCTTGCAAGGCTTGTCTCGCGATGTCTCTTGTCTTTATATCCATTTAAGAAAAGTAGCTTATAAGAAAATTTCCATATTTTCTATGGCAAACGAGAGAGAAATTATCGTCATACAATAAACAAATTTTCTTACTTTTACGCGGATACAAATATGATAAATTTGTTTCCAATATTTATCATGTATAAAACGAGCAAGCCTTGAATTCAACCGTATCCTGATATGTGAGACAGTGCACACTTTGATCTTAATATATATATGTAGCATGCAATAGTTTCTTTAAAATCATAGTTCTTTTGCCTTTGGTGCAAAATTACTGCTTCTAGACTTGTATCATTTCG